TTTTTTTTTTTTTTTTTTTTTTAATCTTTTGATAGCGTGTCCTTTTAAAGTGGAATTCATTCTTTGTTTTTTCCTTTCCATTTACTCAGCTCCTCTCTTCTCGAGAATCCATACATCCCTTATCAGTATATGGACAGCTATCTCTCGAGCACAGGTTTAGGTTCGGCCTCAATGGGAAAATAAAACGGAGCACCTAACAACGTATCTTCACAGACCAAGAACTATGAAATCGCCCCTTTCATTCTGGGGTGATGGAGGGATCATACCATTCGAGCCTTTTTTTTCATGTTTTTCCCGGAGGTTTGGAGAAAGCTCCAATCCATAGGATTTTCTTAATCCTCCCCAAAAGCGAAAGGAAGAACGTGAAATTCTTTTTCCTTTCTTCCACAGGGACCAGGAGATTTGAAAAAGGATCTTCGAGTGTCTAAGGTTGGGCCAGGAGGGTTTCTTAGGATCTCTTCTGTTTCATCGATTTTGTCTGGATCCTCCTTTTCTTCTGAAAAAAGGAAGAAGAAGTATCTTTTTCGGTTGATCCCTCTCGTTTCTATTTAGTCCTCTCCATTTCCTTCATTTCTTTCCGTTTCTTAGTAAGAATGAGTGACGGTATTCTGCCTAAATAGTAGACACAAGTAATAAATTAGAGAATACTAAAGATTCGAGCCATAAAATTTCTCAATTCTGACACAACGTACTTATTAGATCTAATATAATTATTTTGCGGTATCCAGGCTAATATCAATCCAATAAAGGAAGCTAAGCTATAAAATTACCTTGTTGATAAAATTTCTCAAACCAAGAATACTTGTTTTAGATTCGAAATATATATGTATAAACTTTTGGATAAATATTTTTAATACTTGATGAAATAAAATAAATAAATAAACAATATTTTTTTCAAATTACATTTAAAGCCGCCTAAACTTAGGTCTCTTATTTATTATTTATTTTTTCTTAAAAGAAAAAAGAAAATAATATAGTGAAATATAACTGATGTAGCACAAAATTCTAATGGAAGCCTCCGGGGGGCTTAAATGTCAACTGATGGATGCATTGAATATCCATCAAAAGTTTGGAGCCAGATCATCGGACACGTGTATATTTCCCATTGGTGATGTTCTTTTGTAAGGGTTTTTTATTTTTTTATTATTGCGTGAGAGAAAATATAAATGAAAAAAATACAAAAATTGTTTAATTACCCCCATACCCTCCGTAAGGCTTTGCTATGGGCTTCCCAAAAGGCCTCAAGTATAAGCTGTCATGACTTTACTTTGTGCTTCCCCAAAAGGCCTTGTACCAATAAAGAGAGTATTCCTTAATTATAAACCCACGATCATTCTCTAAATTAGCCGATGTGGGACTTTCTTTCAACATCCAACAATTATTACATTTTTTTTAATAAATAAGAGATTAATTACTATTTTTAAAAGTCGAAAAAAATAATAGTATTTGAAAATTTATTTATTAATGTAATAAAATAATGGTTTGAAAAAAAAACACAACAACAAAAGAAAAAAAAAACACACGCAATTGTCGAAATTTACTTGTTGAAGTTGACAGGGCAATGTATAAAAAGGATGTTGGTGTTGGCCCAAGGAATTTGTCAATTAGGAGAAGGAATGGACGCCAAAGAATAAGAAATTCATTTTATTTTATTTTCTTGGTTTTTTTTTTTAAAGGAAAGTAAATCTATATTTTAATTTTTGTTTTTTATTCCACTCCGGTGATGAGATTCGGACATTAGATTTTTTAATCGAGCATAAATATTTTATATCAGTTGAGCTATGTTTTCAATTATACGTTCCGTCTTTGAACTCTCCAGTTTTTTTATTTGGTAAAGTTTAATTTTATAATAAATTTTAAAAAAATTAATAAATTAATTTTAAAAATATTGAATTTATGATAAATGTACAAAATAAAAAAAAATCAATTTAGATATAAAAAAAAATTAGAAATTAAATTAATTGAAAAGAAATCTGAATCACGAACCCCAGCTGGGTGCGGACCCAACCGAGCCATTATAGACCATCAGACGAGCCCCAAGCCTTTGGCTGTGGCTCTATAAAATACGAGTCACATGGTGCAGAGTCGAAGCAATAAGTCATAGTTTTGGTTCACTTCTCTCTCTCTCTAACTACTTGCAGAAGGGGACGCCTTAAGAACGGGTTCCATATATATCCTCTTCAATCACAACATTCTCTGTCTTTTCGCTCTCGTAAAGCCGTGATTCCATCTTCTTCAGAGTTCTTCCTGTTTCTGTTGATCGAGAATTTGTTGTAGAAGGAATTTCCCTAAAGGTACGCATCTTATCATAAGTTCCTAATCTTCTTCCTGCTGTTATCGTTAGAATTTTTAATCTTCTTCTCTGATTCTCGAGAATTTTCAATCAAGATTGTTAATCCTAGTGATTCTGATTGGTTTACTTTTTTTTCCTGATTTCGTAATACCTCTTTTTTTGCTTCATTTCTTCGTAAGAATCGGTCTCGATTTGATTTCTGATGTTTTGCTGTAAATTCTGATTTCGTTAGGGAGTTGACGTTTCTGTTCGGCTAAATCTGTTATATCCTTTTGTTTTACTCTTGCTCAGGATTTTTTTCTTAGCTTGCTTTGGAACGCGTTGTGTAAATTTGGAGGAGAGAGATTAGATTAATGGTTGATCATCTTTGAATCATCGATTTGTGGAGGGAATCGATTTTTCTGGGATCGGATCGGTGCGTCTCGATGGCGTCATCTGTTCATTCGAACTCCGATCGCGCGCGGGAGTCTTCAAGGAGGCAGAAGAAGAAGAAAAGCCACGGCAACAGAGATCATCATCAAAACCAGAACCATATTAAATGGAAGTCTCAAGCGCAGCAAGAAATTTACTCGTCCAAGCTGGTCCGAGCATTGAATCAAGTGAGGCTCAGTCCTCCGAACGAGGCGCCGCGCCGCGGCAGAGCCGTACGCGAGGCCGCTGACAGAGTCCTCGCCGTCGCTGCCAAGGGGAGAACCAGGTGGAGCCGAGCCATCTTAACGAACAGGCTGAAACTCAAATTCAGGAAGCCGAAAAGACAGAGATCGGCATCCACCGCCGGAAACAACCGCTCAAAGAAACCTAGAGTTAGCGTGTTGCGGTTGAGAGGGAAATCCTTACCGGCGGTACAAAGGAAAGTTAGGGTTCTTGGACGGCTAGTTCCCGGTTGCCGGAAAGAACCGTTGCCGGTTATCCTGGAAGAGGCTACCGATTACATAGCTGCACTTGAAATGCAAGTTCGAGCCATGAGTGCCCTCGCCGAGTTGCTCTCGGCCTCAACTTCTGCCGCAGGCTCTAGCTCCGCCCCACCAAACTGATGACTCGCTTTCCTACTGGTGTTTCCCTTTTCCCGACAAATCCTACCATTTTCCCGCTTCTTCTCGTATCTTTGCTTTGCTTGCCTCTATGCAAGTGAAGTAACTGTCTGTTAAATATGGTTGCTGCTATTTTCTTCTTCCTCCTTCCCCGTGGTATTCTATTTTTTCTGTTCACTCTTCCCCTCCTCCTGAATAACTTCTTTGGAATCCAATGCCCAAAAAGAAGAGAAAAAAAAGGAAAAAAGAACTTGGAATCCGTACATAATTTGTTCTGTAATCTTCGGCCTCGGCTTGTCTGTTGTTTTACATTCACTTCGTGGATTTATTAACCCTCTTGTTGATTTCTGCAAAGTTAATGAGAAGAAAAAACAGTTTTCTGGTGAATCTTAGGCAGTATTTACTTGGTGCCCATGTCTAAGCTGATCCATGGAAAACAAAAAGAAGGGGGTCAAGTATATACTCGGTGCGTTTGAATTGGAAACTGAAAGTTGCTTTGTCTGAGAATTTGGGTTCATTTATATTGAGCTCTAGGATCCATCTTATTAGCTTAGCATCATTCCTACCCCTCCTAATTATTTAAGTTTCTTGTTCTGTTTGTTTTGTTTTGTTTTTTGGTGGGTAAAGTTTTGAAACGAGGAACTCTCTAGCCGTCCAGTGGGGCTAAAACCCAGGCAGGGGAAGAGACAATGGAAGAGGAGGAGAAAGGATCTTGTCATGTCTGAGTTTAGTAAAGCGCTGCTTGTGGGGGCAGGGCAAGGCAGGGCATGGCATGGCATGGCAGGGCGGGGCGGGCAGGCAGGCAGGCCAAAATTTGGTGCTGAGAATCATGTTTTGAGTAAGACAGGAAGAGGGCTCTGGCAATCATGTGGGTTACAGAGACTTATAGTACACCCACGCTGAACAGTGACAGCCCTAGATTTTTGGGGCATCCATGTGAGTTTCAGATTTTTCCAAATTTACATGTATTTATTATGTGAGGTATTTCTTTGTAGCTTCACCTGCCCTACTTCATATCCAAAGGAGGAGGACCTTGTTTGGCATGCAGACAGATAGATACAGCTCACTCCTAGTGGCCTCCCATTTCCTCCCCTCTGTCCTGGCTCCCACATCCCCATTCTTCTTCTTTTTCATCTCCCATCCCTCACCTACCTCCTCCTCCTCCTCTTCCTTTGCCTTTTTCAAGTTTTTTTAGAGTAGTTTTACTTTTAAAACTAGAAGTTCTTCGTATAGACTTCGGTTTGGAACGATGTGGCGGTGAGATTTAGAACGGTGTGCCGATTCAATCTGTTCTACCTCACTGCCGCACCGTTTCACATCCAATTTTGTGTCTGAAATTTTAAATGGTTTCAATTTTGTGTCTTCAAAAGGATGTTCTCACTTCTATGCTAGGGATCTTTCATCCGTCCTGCCACCTATGTGAGATTATGTTCTTATAGTTGTCCTTATTTTTGTTGTGATGTCCCACATATTTTATAATAGTGTAAAAAGTTCTCTCTAGTAGATGCATTCTAAAAACCCTTGACGGGAATCTTGGAAGAGAAAACCTAAAGAGGACAATATCTGTTAGCGGGCTTAGGCTATTACATTTATGTTAAGAATCTTTCGTCCTACCGCTATTGTAAGATTATGTTCACATATTCAAAATATTATCAGAGAGGGATTAGTTAGTTGTTCTCGTGTTTTGAACAATTGAATGGTTCTTCTTCCAAATTGAAAGTCTAACTAGACGTGACCTCGCACGGGTATTAAAATAAGAAAAAGAAGCTAAGTGGGTGGGAAGTTTGACCAAAAATTGACAGCACATAGAACATAGACAGACAATTTGTCCAATGAACCAAATATGTTTGCATCAACAAATGTTTGAGCTAATCTTGTCTCCCAGCGTCCACTCTCTTATGTTCTCCCCTAACCTCTGTTTTTCTTAGTTATACTTTATTTGAATGAACTCAATTTCATTTTGGTTTCGTTTCCTAAGCCTTTCATTTCAATCCAAGTCTTTGTTTAATAACAGCTCCGGCCGACAGTCAACTCCCAACAGCTTTGCCTTCATTCCCACGTTTAAGAAGTTGTTCCACCTAAACCCGAACTCAAAATTTATATTAAGATATTGAGTTTATCTGTTTAGGTCGAGTGTCGATGTGACATGGACTTATGTTATTGATACCCGTTTGGTGTACCTAAATTTATATAAAAAGTCGGATACGTTTCAAACTGTCTCACTTTATATCAATACTTTTTTAGTAAAGATACGTTAATATGACCTATAGTTTAATTAACTCGAACTACCCAACTTAAACCATAAAGTATGGCTTGGGTTGGGTTATATATTTTTTTTTTTTCGTTTTGTGTTGAGTTGAATTTTTGAAAAAACAAAAAATTTGCATCGGTTTGCGAGTTGACAACCCAACTAATCCGACCAACTCAAAAATAAGGTCACAGTCTAATCCTACCTAACTTTTAAGCTTATAATGAAGATCAATAATATTTAACGTTTGTAAGTGATGATGTGTGGTGGATAAATAGGTTACAAAACAACTCAACCTAAAAGTCAAGGGTGGAGTTGGATTGTAAACTCTATTCGAGTTGTTCGGGTCACCAACCCAATCTAATTCAACCTATGTACAACCTTATTTTTTAGTTCATTCAACAGGCGGGGCTCGGAGAATCGAACTTCTGGCTTATGGGTTTATAGCACATGTATTAACGAGTCAATGTATTTTTAGGTATGAACGAAGACCATATTTAGGATTGCAATCGAAAACGCTGTGAATCATTCATCTAATCCTTGTCTCCCACCTTCCACTACATATGTTGTGACCAAAGATTTGATTGCCTTGCAATTCAATTCAGGTATTTGTTAAATCACACAGCTCACGCCCACAAACCAAACCCCTACAACCCTTCCCTTCATCCCCAAGTCTCTAAAACCTTCTTCTATTATTAATCTTCTCATACATTTATTTATTTATTTTGGTTATTTATTTTTAAATTAATAAATCCCATCACATTTTAAATCAAATATTTAATTTAAAAAATAGGGACTAAAATGAAAATTTAAATAGAATATTTATAAAATAGAGTGCTGACGTGGCAGAAGTTCCACATAATTGGATGGCTGATGTGTCAGTAACATACTCTTAGTCCCTAAAACATATTTATAGATAATGTTTCCCTTTTTCTTTTTTCTCTTTTTCTTTACCCTTTTTTTTTTACGTACGAGCAACTCAATATTCAATACTTTTTTTCTTTTTGGTTCTTTAATTGATATTTTCAAATTTTAGTTTCTTAAATAATATATTTCTCATCGCAACATGATTTTAAAATAACTATCTAATATATTTCAAATTTTACGATTTAATTCCCTAAGAAAAAAGGTGCATATTAATCGTATAAGTAGTAGCTCTTTCTTAGTCATCATATCTCCAAAATCATTCGTACTCAAATGTTGTCTCTGTTCATTCACGTAGTCATCTTTTACAAACATGTCATAAAAACTAATCAGACATTATTTAGACTAAAATTTCATATAAACAGCCTATTGATTGGTTAAACTAACAATAAATAAATAAAACTCATTCCAAGATTTATTAAAAATATATAAATTAATTATTTTACACATTTTAAACAAATTAAAATTTTATTAAATACTCAAATTTATAGAATTGTGGATGCAAAAGTCACTTATATCCTTAATATTGTACGCTAATTTACTTATTATATAATCTAAAATTCTGTTAATTAAGATTATCGAATTTAATCGTAATTTATTCTAAGCTTATCGAAAAAAGTTAAGATCGAATTAATTGACGAGTAATGTAAATAGAAAATATTTAATAATAATTTAATATTTTATTGAGATTTTGTCTCATAATTAATATTTAAGAATAAGATATTCTATCATAGGGCATTTGAAAAAGTGATTAAATAAAAGAAATAAAAATTAAAAAAAAAAAAACCTATAATTAGAGGCATTTGTTCACAAATTACATCAATCAATCCTTTGCATTAATGACAATTTTATTAATTTGGTGATGCACCGTTTGCTTTGACATGATTGATGCCTACTTTTTTTTTCTTTTTCAATTTTCACTCAAAAAATAAATAAATAATATTATATATATATATATATATATATATATATATATATATATATATATATATATAGCATCATCTTAATTTGAAAAGATTCCAAATTTGTGGCTAAAGTTTCCGTTATAGTTTATTTATTCCAAAAATACCCTCGAACGATATCATTATATTTTAATTTTTTTAAAAAAATCTTAAATTAGGATATCGAGGGTTTCTAAAAGTTTTAGAGTATTAATAATTTTTAAATTAATGATATTTTTTAAAGTTTATGGGGGTGGTCTCAATTAATTTATATTTTTTAATATTAACGATTTATTAAATAAAAAATTAAATATTGATAATATTATTAATAATACTACCAATTTCGAATTAATTATTAATTATTAATTATTTAAACCATTTCCTATTTATTTAAGAGATAATGGTGGATTATTCATTGAATTTGCAAGGGCATATGACGTGTCAATTTTATAATTTAATTTCTAGCCTCTGAACTAATGGACCCATATTGGTTGGAGCTTGATTCTGGACTTCAATTTTGTTTTAAGTTGGGCCTGTGTTGTCTTTAGTTTGGCCCATTTATCCGGCCCAATGGGCCCATATAAGATGGATCACAAGTACTGAGCCCATATAAGTGATGGATGTCCGGCCCAATGGGCCTCTGCTCTACGCAGAAAGAAGTGAAAATGGATCTCCGGCCCACTCTTCTCCTCATCGTTTAGTGTTTCAACTGACCACAAAAGTGCTAGTTGTAACTTGTAACAGCTTAAGTCCATCGCCAGTAGATATTGTTCTTTTTGGACTTTCTCTTTCGAGTTTTTCCTCAAAGTTTTAAAACGCGTATACTAGTGAGAGGTTTCCACACCCTTATAAAGAATTATTTGTTCCCCTCTTCAATCGATGTGAGATCTCACAATCCACCCCCTTCGGGGACTAGCGTCCTCGGGGCCTTCGGGGCTCGCCCAGTATCCTCGTTGACACTTGTTCCTCTCTCCAATTGATGTGAAATCTCACATAACGTCTCATTCATCTCTCCATTGTTTAGTGTTTCAGCCGACTTCAAAGTGCTAGTTTTAGCATCCCGCTCATCTCTCCATTGCTTAGTATTTCGTAGACTTGTTTCAAAACGAGGAAGGCGAAAATGAAGTAAATTCCTCTCGAGTTTTTTTCTTTTTAATTTTACTGATCTATTTGACCTGAAACTGAAAGTTTATAGTCTAAATTGACACCGACTTCATAGTTTTTTTTTTAGTCGATGTGATGTGAGTTAGTTTGATAGAGAGCGAGAATTATCG